CGTGATGTTGCTGGGGTATTGCTAAAAGCGGCGTAAAAACATACCCACTCACTCACTTCATCGTTTCAACTTGAGGAGAGCCCAGTGTGTCGTCAACCACCTTTGTTGATCCAAATACTAGTTTGATAAACCAAGGTGAATAATCGGGACGAAGATTCGAACCCATGATCATCGGATCCTGGTTAGACTATCGACTCAGTCACAGGGCCACCTGTGTCCTCTAGCCCGTAGAGATTCCCCAATAAATTATGTCGTCTTTGTAAAGAGCAGCCACACGGATCAGTGTCCAGGCTAGCAGCCTCAGTTGACAACGTATCATTATATATTTCAAGCGTTCAGAATATTGATCACTGGATTGTCTGGTCCATATTCGACAATTTCGTGGTCACCGCCAGATGGCTGAGAGTGGGGGGTAAACAACAAACTAACCTGCTCCCTCTCACATTATCATAATTCAAGGTTACGGCGTGTCGCTGAAAGACGAACAGTTGTTATATTCACCTAAAGTCATCATGACACAAAACAGCCATGCTTCCATCCGAGTCGTGCATATCATTCTCCAGTCTCTGTTATCGCAGTATGTAAACCTGCAGATCAAATTATGATCGTATGTACTAAACGTCACTGACTGTAAAGGTAAGTATTGCAATATAACTGACATATGTTGCCAGTGCGAAAGTGAAATGTATGTCACGATGTCAAATGCGTCCTATGTACAACACAAACACACAGATGCATATAAGTAAACGTGTACTTACTGTAAAACTAGCGAGTATCTTCACGTCAACACAACAAACTCGTTTCCATTTGCACAAGCCATACGCGTTCTCAAGGCCGATGTAGTCCAAGTCATGCTATATTTAACCCACACACGCCTGTGTTATGTGAGACAGACGAGTATCGACTCCACTGTAGGCAACGCAGACAATACGGTGGTCCGTGGATGTCGTCTAGTCGCGGTGCGATTGAGTTGTCAGTTACGTCACATGTCCTCTACTGCAGCTTATCTACTGTAGTTTTACTATATATATATATATAGCTAGTTGACCATGGTGCTGCAGTTCGTCCGAGAGCACGTGTCTACCGAGATCTGGATGCCTCCGACTACAGGAGCAGCTGACCAGTGTACGTGACCCTCTTCAGTTTCTTGATGACGACAGGCATCTCCTGAAGTTGTCCGACAGAAGTGTGAAGTCACTTTAACCGAGTAGTTATCATGTGGACATATCACTGTGGACATTACTGAAATTGACTGTGTGTATCAGCATTGAGTGTGTATATGATCATATTAGCAGTTAAAAAACAACTACTAAAGCCAACTAAAGTAACAAATTAATTGAATATCTAGAACTGTTCTTGTTTTCTTCATTAGTTTTCGTCATCACTTTTCTGTTCACCTAGTGGACAGGGGCCCCGTTCTTCAAAGCGATCTCAGCGCTACGACTGTCGTAAGTCTATGTTAAAGTATGGGAGTTACGATCACCATAGCGCTACGATCGCTTTGAGGAACGGGACCCTGGTCTAGTTTACTGCAAGGGATGACAAAATCAGTCATGCATACCCACCGCAGCCAACAGACCATAACGTGTTGACGTAGCAGTGGTGGCAAATTGAGATGTAGGCGAAATGGAACTGAACCATCTTATGTAAACGGTCAAGGTTACGTGTTACATGCAAACTTACAATCGTACTTTTTATCAGTGTGTTAGTGGACTGAGCGGGGCGGCGGGGTAGCCTGTGGGTAGAGTGAGCCACTCGTCACACCGAAGACCGGGTTCAATTCCCCACATGGGTACAACATGTGCATCCCATTTTTGGTGTCCATCGCCGTGATATTGCTGGAATATTGCCAAAAGCGGTGTAAAACCATACACAGTCGTTGGTTCCATCCACGGCCGCGTCGTTCTGAAAGACGTTAAGAGATGGTACTTGTTGTTACCTTGACTGACACTCATCACTAAGGGGATGAGACAAGGACTGGCTGACTCGGAGTCGCTGCCCTCTGTCTTAGTGCTGTATTCGTAATGAAACAGAGGCACGGTATGTCTTAATGATATTACTTAACATGCATCGGACCTTTCCATCTACAGTTTCCATACTAAAAATATTGGTTTCCTGAGACGAAGATCAGAAAAAAGCTGTTTTCTCTAACCATTTAGTGTAACTATTCTTTTTAAAAAACTAGATACTGTGAGAAGAGAATTTTAGTTTAAGCATTTTGTCTCCTGTAAAATGTTTTCAAAGCCCCCTCTCGCGAGGTCTCATTGCTGATTACGTGACGTCGTTTGTAATTCATTGTGTTGTGACCCTGTTCTGAAAAAAAACCCATTCACTTACTTTCCTCTTTGTCAAGATAACGCTTGCATTAGGGATTTGGGGGATTTACCTGTTTTCTCAGTAAATGCACAATGCACAACCTAGAAGCATATACACAATTGTTCCGGGTCAATTGTGAAACAATATCACCGAACAATGTTATGCATAGGTCGCGTTAACTAGTACAAATAGTTTCCCGTTCATATGTATTTGAAATTACCAGGAAAGAGGTGTAACATGTTAGTTTCGCTTGTAACGCAAGATTGAAAACCCTACCGCGAGTGGTGTAGTGTTATGTCCTGTATGGGTTTCCATACGCTGTATGCCGTGACGAATGTTAGGGAGGTGTGCTGTGTAACATTGGTCTGGCTCTCTTTCTGCTGTGCTCATTCAATATATCAGTAACCTGAAGGTATATTTCACAGTATCAGTATGTGTTTTTTAAATATTTTCGTTGATAGTTTCCTGTCACAAGTATTGTATTTATTGACTATATTTCTAAAAACAACATAACCTACTTTCGGTTTGAACAACTGGCGGTGGATCGATTTTAAATGTAACCGGTGACCATATCAGTAATTGTCGGGATAATGTCAGCTATGTATACCATCGGCGGCGTTTGTATTGAAGTTGTGTGATTTTGTGATAGTACCCTGCACTGGTCTCCTATAACAAATAGCGACAGCCAGACAAATCGATAAGGCGTTGCCGTTCAGCTGTACTGACGGGCGTCCATAAGGCGTGCCAGATACCTGTGATCTTGGGTTCGAATCCTGATTCTCCCTGATATCGTTATTAGGTTTGTCGGTGTCTTAGCATGGTCTTGGGTTTCCCCAAGGTGTTAAACGTCTGAGACCTCAGTTCTCACCTGTGATCTTTGGGGGTTGCCTCACACATCAAGCCGACACGCTGGAGAATTAGAGTTATGCCATTCTCCCGCACTTACTCATATCGCCAATGTTTTATGTAGATACCTTATCCATCCATCCATCTATCCATCATCCATCCATCCATACATCCATACACACATACACACATTGGTAATGTAAAGGCACCTGATAGTAAACCTATTATTAATTATCAGAGATATAAACAGAATCTTAAAACTAAGTAACTCCACTGCTGTCTGGTTAACGTTTTTCTCCAGACACTTCTGCACCAGCTAATATGAAACCCTCTCTGCCTCCCCTTCATAACATTTCAATTTCATATTGAGATCGTGTGGATCTTTATTCCAGTGATTGTCAGGATGAAATGAAGGCATCGTGTGATTGTGTGCATTGTGTCAGAGGGAGATGCCCACCTTATCGAGACTTTAGCAAGAGGTCAGCATGAAACTATCATGTGATTACATGCCAGAAGTTAAAGACGTTATGCGCGTCATGGTTTATAGCGGTCGCCGAGGACAGATAACGTACGTTTTGAGAGAGGGTATGTACGAGTGCTTCGCTCGTTAAACATCACAATTTTGCCTCTGTTGCTTGACAGGTGAAGCCTATATCAGGGACCAGAATCGGTGGGTGCCGTTGTTTAAACGTCGCGTGGACGTTGAATATATGCAACCCATTGACATATTGCACATCGACGTGAACCTGGTTCCCAGGGCTAACTGGTGGTATGATCAGAGGTGACCTGTCTTTAACAGGTTCGACGCCGGGGCGCCGATTTACGGTAGTTTATCACGCTGCAGGTACTTGTTATGTTTCGTACATCGACCACATGGTTTTGTTGTTACTATGGATTGAAAGCCCTGTGTCTTGTCTTTCAAGTCATGTGCAACACGTGCGGGTGTCGTCACGTTTTCTCATCCTTAAAGCCACCCGAAGCTCAGATTTGATATCCCAAGGGTTTGATCTCTGCATCCCGCTTGCACTAATTGTCTCACACCCGGAGAAAGAAACATATGCACACATATCATATATGAAAATGTTGCCACGTGCATGAAGCACCTGTGATTGTCACGGGGTTGACGTGGGTCACCTGATTGGCCATCTGTTATAGACATGTCTTTTTTACCAAGAAAAGAGTCTTGTTGGGCGAGCATCTGTTAAACGTCGCGTGGACGTTGAATATACATAACCCATTCACTTGTTGCACATCGACGTGAAGCTGGTTCTCAGGTTAACTGGTGGTATCATCAGAAATGACCTGTCTTTAACAGGTTCGACGCCGGGGTGATTTAAGCCCGATTTATGGCAGTTTTTCACGGTGCAGGTACTTGTCATGTTTCGTACATCGGTTCATTCGCACGAAGGCGAATTTTTTCGGCGCGTATAAACATTGAGCGAATTTCGTTTCCGCCTTCATGCGAATGGTGGTCCTCAACACGAACAATAGGGAACTGAGTGTTTGTTTAAGCTCCCTCGATGAGGGCGAAGGGATAATTCGAACAAGTAGAAAACCAAACTACTATTAAGTTAAGATATTTTATTCAAGGTTATGGATCTTCATTTGTTCACATAGTGTACAAATTAAACTACATACATATACAAGCACACACGCACAGATCGCCATTTTTTGTTATGATATATATTATGTTATGTTACATTGATTAAAAAATGGACAAAATATTCTTACTTATTACACATATATACATATGACTAGATTAACTTTATAGATTGGAAATACTAAATGGACAAATATTCTAACCATATACTCATTTAACAAAGTACAAATCACAATATTTAGGCAAGTCTAAGAGCATAAGATGCTCTGACAGCGTAGTCGAAGACAGAGAGGTCTAGGGATTCCAGCCTGGTTTTCAGGTCATCCAGCTTTCTTTGCAGGTCCCGGTACCGTTTCTTTTTGGGTGGGAGGCGTTGCCCTGCCATGTACTGAACCAAGTACACTTCTGTTGTCTTATGTTCATCCAACAAGAAGCGAATCAGCTCGAATACATTGGGATGGGCTTTCCAGACAAGTTTCTTAACTCGCCCATGCCAACCCTCCAAATTGTTGTTGGTTCTTGGACCGAGGGTCAGGTAATGGTTCCATGATGTCATCGGGAGACTACCTACGATCCAGTCGGCCAATTGATGACATCGGTCGTCTTGTGGCATGTCAGCTACGTTTTGGAGCCATACATCTTCAACCTAAAACAAAACCAATGGTATAAGAAAAACGACATTGTAATGTAATAAAACGTCATTATTTACAATACGTATGAGAATTTGAATAATACAGTTTATTATAATGCTATTACTAGAAGATATATCGAGATGAAACTACTTACATCAGCCAATGGCACCAGAGGCAATACAGCACAGAGTCTGACGAAGTGGTTGACGTCGGGGTTGTTGCTGTACTCAACCTTCAGTCCAACTTGTTGCGTCTTCCTCCATATGCACTGAGTAAAGTGAAAATAACAACCTTTCCACTCTATACCCGGGAAAACAACCTCCACGGCATTCTTAGCTGTCACTTCGAAGTCCATCTGTAACAAAATAATTAAAAAATAATATATAGTGACAGATAACACAATTTTTATATCATCGATACTATTATCATTTATTGCATAATAAATATGGCAATTCAGTTGTTCAATTACCTGGACACAATCTGGTTGAAGACAAAGTACCCTTGCTTCAGCAGCGTCTTTCACGAGTCGCAGAGCTCTCTCATAGGTGAGATGCTTCTTGTCGTGTAGCAGCAGGAACACCAACGGCACCATTCTCTCAACAACTACGGCATGTAGCGTGTAGAGTTGATAGAAGATGGTGGGGACAACGTAGAATGTTCCATCCTCATACCCGCCGTGATGTAGCTGGAATATTGCTAAAAGCGGCGTAAAACCAAACTCAGTCAGTCCATCCCCATATATGGTCTCAGCTGCGCAGAGATGCTCAAGGTTGGCAGTGAAAGAGAAGCCGAGAATCTTGTCGTCGTCTCCGTTATTACATGATGAGGAAGCTCTCGCCGCTGTCAGTTGTCTGGAATTGCTCGGGAACGACAAGGTCTTTTCGATGGGTAGGCGTGGGAGGAAACGTGGACCGACGGGCTCAATACAGGGCATCTTTCTTGACGTGGAACGTCGGCCAGGGAGCGGTTGGAATCGGTCCAGGGTCCATCTCAGAGAGCGCGGACTTCCTCCTCGTACAGAGCTGGGAGAGGATCCATTGTCGTCTTGGCTTTCTTCTTCAGCGATGCCAAAGTCTCATGGATTTAAAACAAATGAAATTATGACATTGATATAAATACAAATATAAAGGTACAATATCAATACTAAACGATTTTATGTGAGTATGCATTCAAATTCCCAATAGTTATTTTCATCCTATTCTAATGTTATCTATACATGCGTCTCCACTGATTTATGTGCAATTATTGAACAAAGTGAATTATTGAATATAAGTGAAATGTTTTAGACACATACCTAGATGCAATTATGAACCGGGCTAAGGTTGTGTGTGGATTCGCCTCGTAACGGTATATCTCGCTGTGTCGTTATCTTCCCTGAGCATTTCTTCGTTGTACATCTCCAATACTCAACATCATTTGCCCCTCACTTTCCTATCTTATACATGTAATTTCCTACACAGAGATATCTACCACCTCTGGAAGTGGGAAGATACTTGTACTCAACTTGCGCATTAGCCATGATGATAGTGAGAGTGAAGGGAAAGCTGCAAACCAACCCATTTATAGGAAACCTTTATTGCATTGTTTTTATTGTTGTAAAGAAATGTTCACCAACAACAATTCACCAACATGACAAGATGAGAACTGTTCACCAACATGTTCAGGTGGGTAAGGCGATAATCCTTCCCTAATCCCTTGTGCATACAATGTAAAAACAACACCAATCATCAAAGAGTACCGCTTTTCGCCTTCCCGCGAATAGCCGAAATTAAAAATTCGACTTCGTGCGAATACCCCCGTACATCGACCACAGGTTTATTTTGTTACTATGGATTGAAAGCCCTGTGTCTTAGCTTTCACGCCATGTGCGACACGTGCTGGTGTCGTCACGTTTTCCTACCCTTAAAGCCACCCGAAGCTAAGCCCCATGCCTGAGACGGGAGTCAAAACAGCTCAGATTTGATATCCCAAGGGTTTGATCTCTGCATCCCGCTTGTACTAATTGTCTCACACCCGGAGAAAGAACCATATGCATGCATATCATATATGAAAATGTTGCCACGTGCATGAAGCACCTGTGATTGTCACGGGGTTGACGTGGGTCACCTGCTTGGACGTCCACATCCATTTGGCCACCCAGATAACACCCAGGTTTGATCTGTGCATTAAGCAACCAATCAACGATTGGCGCTTTCAGTCGTAATTCCCGCCACTTGGTTGGCTTCCGTCTCACTCAGAAACTCTCGGATTAGGCATTACAATCAAAACATCAGAGCAAAGCTTGTATGCCCCACCCAAACAAGTGCCTCTGCAAACATGACACCAATCAAGGCTCAATTGAAGACAATGTTGTGAGTAAGAACTCACCATGAAGCTACTTTAGGAATGTATGTTGTGTGAAGGTAACCTTTAGTAACAAACAATAAGAATTAAATATCACAAAAACCGTGTCTCCGTTTTCTCCTCACATGGAAATAAAGACAATACCAAGGCTAAACGCAGCGATGAAAACGTTTTATTCATCCTTCCAGACAGCATCAAACTAGGTGCAAACATAGCAAAATTGAGTTCGCCATCACACCAGGGGGAATTAAAGACAATACCAAGGCTAAGCGCAGCAATAAGAACGTTTAACATTCACCATCACGCCAGGTGACAAATTATCCAGGCTAGTTCATAGACATTGAAAGCATGTGCCCCTCACCTGGGAACAATACTGCCAATGCCTCGGCTGACCGACTGAATTTATAGAACTTGATCCAAGTGTAGAAAATCACTTGAGCCAAGGATCATATTTCAGTTTCACATGCCCGACTTTACTTCGATGTATACCCCTCTTTATTTTAATAGTATTATTGGTTCTTTGTTTCTTGTTCTTATTGTTTATTTTACGTTTTAACCTTCTTTGTATTAATGCTTTTTAGCTTTAAATTTATGTTTTTGCGGTTTGGGTTAGTGATTTAACTTAAAGTGAAGGCCGTAGGCTTTTAGTTTAAATTTTATGTTATTTCGGTTTTGGGTTAGCGTTTTAGACTAGAGACGGAAGGACTTACTGCCTTTTCACGTTAATTTTATGTTATATCGGTTTGGGGTTAGTGTTTTAGTTTAGAGAGAGACGGTGTCAACTTGTACTATATTTTTGCATTCCCCATTTGTATGACCAACATGATAAGGACGAAGCATTTGTGCAACACAGCCCTATACCCAAATGGATACCATAGCTCACGAAGGCAATACCCAATTACATAATGGACAGATAATTCAAACATGTCAGCACAAATAAATAATACGAAACATGAAACCTGGAAGGATACAACTTTGATTTCAAAGTCTGATTGCTGTGAAGGCGCAGTTGAGTCTACGTAGGAAGGTCGTCGAGATCTCCCTGATTTCTTCAGGTATTGTTGATAATGGCAGTGGAGCTGCCACATGTGATGAACAACACATACTACACTTTACATCAACATGCATAACAAACGTCAGAAAACGTCTGGCATGTCATGCCCTCGGGTCTACCCATCGATTGGGTGTCTCACATATATAGCTGTAGACTCTACAGCAATAGACCTCTCCTTTCCCATATGCCACACCTTAGGGAATTGCAAAGATTTGACACGGCAAATCATGCACAGTTACCGCCAAGTGGCCTCTGAGCCACTGCCGAGACTCGAGCTGGTTTGGGTGCGCCAGCCACCATTTCGCCACCATCGCCTCTCCTCTAAGGGTCGCCCCTTCACCCCTATGCCACACCAGCATTTCGTCCTGCTTCCAGCAAAACATCACCACCGTTTGCGCTTGCTTACTGCCAAGTCGCCTCTGAGCCACTGCCAAGACTCGAGCTGGTTTGCCTGCGCCAGCCACCATTTCGCCACCATCGCCTCTCCTCTAGGGGTCGCCCCTTCACCCCCTATGCAACACCAACATTTGAGCTTGCTTCCAGCAAAGTCACTTTTGAGCCACCTGTCAAGACTCAGTCTGTTTCAGTTCTGCTACACCATGGCTGTTCATTGAGCATCTTCGAGAGAATGAATGATGAATAGCACGAGCAACGTCGCGCGCCGTTACACAAGCTAAGTCAACCAAGTGCTTGATCATGGTGGAGGTCGGAATTATCCCTCTATGCACTACCATCTATCCGACCTCCGTGGGCAGACGTGGAGGGCAGAGTCGCAATTTTCACATCGCCGTGGCCGTCGCATCGTTGTGGCCGGGGAACAAAGGCAAATTTCCGAGCCAGTGGCCAACCTGGCTCCTTTCCCCGAGTAAAGAATACCCCGTCAATACGTTGGAATGTTAGACATTCGCCTGAGAGTACTATGCATTTTAAAAAGTTAATAAATACTTTAAGAATTAGAAAAATGCCGTTTTGCATGCATCTCCGCCACTGAATGGGCTTTCTGGCAATATAAGCCAATTTGACTTCTGACTTTGGAAACAAAAGTGATATAGGATTTTCTGCAGAAGTATAGCAAAAAATTTTTTCTAACAAATTGTGCAATATATATTTTAATGTTCAGGATAGATCAAATCACCGTTCACCACCGTCACCGACGTCAAAAGAGCTTTCTAATGATACCAATACGGGTATTTTGCAGATAGGTATAACGGATTTAGAAGTAAACAAAGACGTGATAAGGCAAAGCCTGAACAAAGGCTGATATGAAAGGCCGCCGACACAAGAAGCGGCGCTATAAACCGACGTGTGTAACGTCTCAGCACAACGTCGCCCATGTCCGTGTTATACGTCGTTTGAAGTGTACTTTCCAGGGCTTTCGACTGCATTAGACATATTGAAACTCGGGCCATGGACATTGACAATATAGCCGAAGTGAACATCCGCTGATGGCGGAGGTGACACGGACACCAGAAGCGGCGGCATATTCAGATGTATGTAGCACCTTTGAAAAATGTCGCACATGTACTTGTTATACGTCGTTAGAAGGGCATTTTAAAGGGTTTTCAAATGCATTATAGAAATGAAGATCGAACGAAGGATAGAGAAATTATAGCCGAACACTACATGCGCTCATGTCTGAGGTGACACGACACCAGAAGCGGCAGGAACTTCAGATGTGTGTAGCACCTTTGCACAATATTGCACATGTACGTGTTATACGTCGTTAGAAGAGCATTTTAAAGGGCTTCCATATGAGTTATAGAAATGAAGGATCGAACGAAGGGTATAGAAATTATAGCGGAACTGAACATGCACTGATGGTGGAGGTGACACGGACACAGAAGCGGCGGCAACTTCAGATGTGTGTAGCACCTTTGCAAAATATTGCACATGTACGTGTTGAGAAGCATTTTAAAGGGTCGTGAAGGATCGAACGACGGATATAGGGAACACTTCATTTTAAAGCGGCATTTTCAGATGTGTGTTAGCTTTGCAAAATATTGCACATGTACGTGACGTCGAAGGGCATTTTAAAGGGGTATTGTTGTATTGCTGTTATGGTTAGATTCCAAACTATTGTACTTTTTAGTTCTGTCAAGCATATTCATTCCTGTATAGCTCAACTATCTTATGTTGCACAACAACATATTACATATTTCCAGATCCCACATGAATGATCTTGCACATGCACTATA